ATGAAGAGGAGTTTGAAGGCTTTTAAGGTGAAACTGTCACGCCAGCAAACTTGCTAGGGACTTGCCCGGCACTTGCTCTCTCCCTCTATTTGTTATCTTACTTCTATCATTGACAGTCCCTCTAGGTTGTGGGCTGCTTGCCTGTGTTCCTGAGAAGCATCTACGGTACCAGTCTATAGAGTGTGTTTTCTTTAGTGAATTACCGGTATGTTTACCGGTAATAAACTTGCACTGTTTTATGTATATGTTTGATTACATACAGCCTTGTGACAGTTTTCCTGCATGTCATAAGCATTTGAATATAAATTAAAATGTTAAAATCAAATCTGATATTGTTTTACCTTTTATTTGGTGTGTGGAAGGTGTGTGGAAGAGGGGGTAGTCTTATACGGCGAGTATATAACAAACTCTGTATTTTGAGTGGAAATGTTAGGGGGTCGTCTTATACGCCCAGTCGTCTTATACGCCGGCAAATACGGTATTTACTATATGCCAAGCACTGAATTAAATCCTTCTATAAAGTTATGTTTAAATTTAATTATCACAGCAAGTTTGGTACATGGTACTATTATCCCCTCTTTAAAAATAAGGTAAATATATTTCCATAAAGATGTTTTGTGAATAAAGTTCATATATCTTAAATATAATATATAATATATTTTTTGATATATATATAATCTCATAGGTTAGTTTTGTTGTTTTTACAGTGTAAGTAAATGAAATCATATAGTATTTATGCTTTTGTTTCTGGCTTTTTTTGATGCAATATTATGTTCATGAGATACATCCATGTTACCGGAGTTATAGTTCATTTTTATTGACATGTTATATTCCATTGTATGAAGAGACCGCAATTTATCCATTCTATTATAGATGGACATTTGGGATGTTTTTCATTTAGGTAATCTTTGAACTTCAGACTTGCCTCATACTGTTATGTAGGCTTTATGTGCCTGTGCAACTCACACATTATCCAGCTTAATGTACACACATGCAAAGTTATCTGTCCCCATTCTTCCAAGCGATCCTCTGGATGGCCCAACATTATGGAATACAGTGGAAGGAAATTCTTTTATTAAAACAAATTCATGGCTTTTTTTCTTCTTCCCTTTCCTATGACACTATAGCTTTCCATTTAGCTGACTGCTCTACCTCTACCAAAGTGAAGTGTCCCATGTCACAGTACTTATCATCCTGTATTGAAATATACAGTATATTCTAATAGACCCAGAAGACCTTCAAAACAGGATCTTTGTCTTACTCACATTTCATTGATTTCTTCATGTGATGAATATTTATTTGATTAATCAATACCATTTGCCCATCACCTTATTAGATGCAAAATCAGTCCCTGCTCTCTTATGTCTGGCAGAATAAACAGGTATTTTTAAGCATATATTCTGTAAACAAGGATCTGTGAACATTTTTGAAGTAAATTGGTCTGGAGAAGAGTGGAGAACAGGAAGGCAAGTACTGTTTCCCCTGTTTATTTATTTATTTATTTATTTATTTATTTATTACAAACAGCAACATATTGTGCCAGAGAGCTCTTTCCAAGCTCAGTGTTTTGTGAGATTTGGGGCTAGGGCTGGGGATGAACATCTTGACAAACAAGAGGTTGGGCTTTCTTGATGTTCTTCGCTTCCTTTTCAGAAATGGGTCAAATTTCTCCGTGATTTTGAGAACTTCAAAGCTGCTTGTGTCCCATGGGAAAATAAAATCAAAGCAATTGAAAGTAAGTGCTTAACAGATCTCAGGTGGGAGGTTGGCCTAGATAAATGTCTCATAAGCTTATCAGAGGCCTTTCTTAGTGGGGAAGATTAAAAACGAGAAAACAAACAAATAAACCTGCATCTTTTTACATCTTTTTTGCTCACTGTGAAGACTTACTAGTACTTACCCATCACAGCACTGGAGATCCCACTCTCCCTTCCCACCAAAATATTCCCCTTCTGATCTTGTTCTTTCTCCTACACAGGAAAGTCAGTGTTGCGCACAAGGACATTGAGTCATATCATGGGAAGGCAGAGATTTTACTTGGGCAATGAACCTGACATTGAAAAATAGATATACTCTCATGTTAGACAATAATCAAAATGAATGTCTAAAATGAATCAAGAAATCTTAGAGCCCCATTTTCAAACCTCTGAAGTAGAATAAGCAATAATCATCCAAGAACTTGCTATCTGAATATCATATTATGCCTTCATTTTTATACAATATTCACAGTGTACAGGAAGACAGGAGAATATACTTAAATAAAAACCTATTTAGAACAATGCTCTAAGCTTATAATAAGGCAAATAAAAAATTTAAAATATTGTAATTATAATAATAAGTTATTTTTAAAAACAAAGAATATAAAGAAAAAGGGATACCATTTTTTCAAAATATATTTTTATTGATTTCAGAGAGGAAGGGAGAGGGGGAGAGAGATAGAAATATCAGTGATGAGAGAGAACCATTGATTGGCTGCCTCCTGCATGCCCCCTTAGTGGGGATGGAGCCCACAACCCAGGCATGTGCCCTTGACTGGAATTAAACCCAGGATTCCTCTATCTACTTAGCCAAACCAGCTAGGGCAGGGATACTATTTTATTTTTTTAATATATTTTATTCCTTTTTCACAGAGAGGAAGGGAGAGGGATAGAGAGTTAGAAACATCGATGCCAGAGAAACATTAATCAGCTGCCTCCTGCACATCTCCCACTGGGGATGTACCCGCAACCAAGGTACATGCCCTTGGCCAGAATCGAACCTGGGATCCTTCAGTCCGTAGGCCAACACTCTGTCCACTGAGCCAAACCGGTTAGGGCAGGGATACTATTTTTAAAACCAGTTTTGAGCACAGTCTTGCCATATTCTGGTTTCTAAAGGTTTGGACTAGGACCTGATTTTCTCCTGGGCCTCGGTTTTCCTGCTGGGTAAATGTGGCATTGCATTATTAAAACGGGGCCTCCACAGAGAGATAGCACAGTTGCTGGATGCCTCACTGATATGATTGCGCACACTTTCGGAGTTACTATTCCCCCCCCTCAATTTCACGTTATCAAATGGCAATGAATTAAAACATATCAGCTTATTAATTGCACTCCTCCAACATATTTCTGTACTATTCATTTCTTGCTTTATTTTCTCAACATTTATGTACAATGATCTAAAATACTGTCTTTTGATTGAATGTTTAATATAATTTTGTTTTATTTTACTTGTGTTCATTTCTTCTGCAAGATAGGAAAGTAGAGATTTTGTTTTATTCACTCCTGGATCACCAGGCCTAGAACATGTTTGACCTTAATAAATATGTGTTGAGTAAAATCTTACCTAATAATAGACAAATATGCAAATTGACCATCCCTTCGCTACACCCACCAGCTAATTGGATTAGTATGCAAATTAACCCAACAAAGATGGCGATTAATTTGCATACGTAGGCACCCAGCAGTGATCAGAGCCTGCAGTTGGAGCTGAGGGGTCCCCTGCCCAGGTCTAACGCCTCAGCCACAGGCATTACGCCTGGGCAGGGGCGGAGCTGGCGATTGTGGGAGCTGGGGGTCCCGTGCCCAGGCCTAATGACTCAGCCACAGGTATTAGGCCTGGGCAGGGGCAGAGTTGGCAATCGAGGGGAGCAGGGGGTTCCCTGCCCAGGCCTAACACCTCGGCCACAGGTGTTAGGCCTGGGCAGGGGCAGAGCGGGCAATCGCGGAGAGCTGGGGTTCCCCTGCCCAGGCCTAATGCCTTGGCCATAGGAGTTAGGCCTGAGCAGGGGTGGAGTGGGCGATCGTGGAAAGCTGGGGGTCCCCTGCCCAGGCCTAATGCCTCGGCCAGAGGTGTTAGGCCTGGGCAGGGGCCGAGCCGACAATTGGTGTGAACTACAGAGGAAACACATTTTCTGACTGCTCATTGGCTAAGCTCCCTGTATGCCACTGGTAATATTTTTAATAACTTGGGTAATAAGAATCCAATAAGGTAGTCTAGGGTTTTTCATCACACTCCTGGAGAAAAAAAGGAAGGTCCACTGCTGGAGGGCTAAGAAATATCATATCCTGCCCTAGCTGGTTTGTCTCAGTGGATAATGCCTTGGCCTGCCCACTGCAGGGTCTGGGTTCAATTCTGACCAAGGGCATGTACCTAGGTTGCAGGCTCCTCCCTGGCCCGGGCCCAGGTCAGGGCTCATGCAGGAGGCAACCAATCAAAGTGCAGGAGGCAAACATCGAAGTGAGAGGAACATTCGATGTTTCTCTCTGTCTTTCCCCTTCTCTTCCATATTCTTTAAAAATCAATGGAAACATAGCCTCAGGTGAGGATAAAAAAAGAAAGAAAGAAAGAAATGTCATATCCTATGAAAGACACATCTTGAAAATGCCTAAAGAAAGTTGTCATTTTTTCATGGTGAAGGGACTGGAGTCCGTGTTGATGAAAACTCCTTGGTGGCTGTGGTGACTGGCAGTGGCTACAGCAGCGGGGTGATGGGGCTGGTGCCTTCCCCTGATCAGCCCGGTCGCCTCCCCAAGGGGAGGAGGGAGCAGGCCTAAGCCGTCAGTAGGACATCCCCTGAGGGCGCCCAGTATGTGAGAGGGGGCAGGCTGGGCTGAGGGACCGCCCCCCCCCCCACCAGTGAACAAATTTTTGTGAACTGGGCCTCGATTATATATAAACAAATTCTCCAAATATCTACCATTCTATGAAATTAAAGGAATTAAGACATCAAAAAACAAATTCAGACACCGTGGAATCATTAGGTTTTAACTGTGCAGCTGAAATATGGTACCTTAAGATCCTGATACAATTTTGTTCTTCCTTTGCCATAGATTAGCTGTTGGCACTGACTGAGCCAGTCATTTAATCCCTCTGGGCCACAGTCTACTCATTTCTGAAAATGATAGGGTTGAATCTTGATCAGTTATGAGATGTATCCCAAGATATTTATAATTAATGATAGGGCAGGTTCCAGCCCATCTAAATAAAAATGGCATGCTTACTAGTGTTGCAGTAGCCTGCCTCGAGTGCGATAAAAACAGATGGAATTATTTTTATTGCCGGAAGTTGCATGGAAAAATGAGTTACACCTATGACCATCATCTATCATGTACATTACAGTGGAAAAATCAAATTGAGAGCTACCTTATACTACTTTCAGTTATCTTTCCCTTTCCTCTCTTCCCCCAGAAAATTTGAAACAGTCAGACTGGACAATATGAGCAACTGTGGATTATTTTCCCTTCAATATGTAATTTATTATTTTATTAGGTGGTCCTATTTTCTTCACCTTTAATGGTGCTTTGCCTCACTGTGGAGAATTGACCTTAATTTCCTGTTCTAGCATCATCACAACCATCATTTATTGTGCCATCATGAGTCAGTCACTCTACAAACACTATTTCATTTAATCTTTAAGCCATCAGTAGGACATCCCCTGAGGGCTCCCAGTATGTGAGAGGGGGCAGGCTGGGCTGAGGAACACGCCCCCCCCCCCACCCCCCGCACAAATTTTTGTGAACCAGGCCTCTAGTTATATATAAACAAATTCTCCAAATATCTACCATTCTATGAAATTGAAGGAATTAAGACACATCAAAAAACAAATTCAGACATGTGCCTGCAATGTGCACATAAGCCTTCCTATTTTAGAGTTGTGGCTTGGCTGTCTCAGAATTTGTTAGTAGAGGAGCTGAGATATAAGGTGAAGTCTGTCTGGGCCCAAAGCTTGTGCTTTTCCCAGTGGGTTATGCCGATTTTTACTTTGAGGAAGATATAAATTTCTTTTTTTGCATCAGGTCCTAGGGAGAGTTCTACCAGGTCTATAGTAAGATGAGTAGTTGTAGATTTCTTTAATAGTTATTCTACTTGGGGTGTTATTTTCCATAATAAATATTATCAGGTATTTATTTTTAAGTCAGTTATTTATTTACTTATATGTTTCACATTTTATAAGATTCCTAAAGTACTATGATTTTTAACGATAGTTGAAAAGTCTGAAACCTTTCTAGGAGTATACTAGCAGAGTCATTGGTTTGGACTCACCATCTCACAAAAATAGCCTACCAAAGACAGGGAAATCATGTGTCTGTGATGGTGTTGGAAGCTGACCTGCATGAGGAAGTGGGGGTGGAATTGTTTGAAGGTTGAAGTCTTTTGCCCTATTGACTCTGTTGTTTGGGCAATCCTTTTATATCTCTGGCTGTCTGTTCTGCCATTTGGAGTTTTCACAAAATTTAGAGTTTATCTAGTCAAGGCCATGTTTCACTCAAGATTCTATAATTTCATAAATTACTATCAGTTTTAGATATATATCTGTAAACACATGACATTCTTTATCCTTTCGAATGTAAATGATTGAAATTATTAAATGGAAAACAGGTTTATATTGAGAGACTTGCATAATTTACTTTCTTTGGGAGTTCTTTTCAGAAAAATGTAGGTTAAATGAGTACCCTATTTTTAAATTATATATTTTACATTATAAAACTAATACAAATTAATTTTCTCTGAAGAAATGACCGTTTACACTTACAAGAGGATCAGAAATATATTAATTTCCTTTGAAATCAGAATTATCTAAATATAATAATACCTCATTTAATCTTCAGAATAAGCTTGACTTGACTGATTAGTTAATGGAGCAAATACTCACTTAGCGCCTCCCATTATCAGGCATGTTTCTAGGCACTAGCAATGCTGTACTGACCAACACACATCAAGACTCTTGATTGATTTTACATTCAAATGACTTAG